ACGGGCCCTCCCGTGGGTCTGGAGATAGTCTGGAGGCCCTGGACTGGAAAGACTGAGCGGAGCCTGTGCCCTCACCCGCCCCTTTATATCCCGTTTGTCTGCGCTGCGTGTGAGGGCGAGGGAACTGGGCAGTGGGAGACGCTGCAGGTTTTGGGAAGCAGGGGAGTCTGGACCAAGTCCTGGAAAGAAACGGGTGTGTATGTGTGTCTGTGTAAATCTGGCAGAGACACTCCCAGGCCAACAGACGTGTGTGTGTGTGTGTGTGTGCGCGCGTGTGCTGGGAAAGGCCGCTGGGACAGGCCGCAGACTGCAGCTTGAGGTTTGGGGCTTTAATTGTCTTTCTCCTTCCAGCCCTTTGCTCTTCATCTTCCCATCCGCTTCCTAGTTCTGTGCCGGTTCCTGCTTTGCTCTGTAGCACCGTGGGCCTGTCAGGCGCAGTAATAGGTGGCGGTGTCTGCAGCTGTCAGCGAGCGGAGCTGCAGCGAGACCTGGTTCCTGGCGGTATCTGCAGAGATGGTGACTCGGCCCCGGAGAGAAGGGGCGAAGTCTGTGCTCCCGCCGAATGAATACACATGCCCCGTCCACTCCAGCCCTTCCCCGGGACTGTGCTCCCGCCGAATGAATACACATGCCCCATCCACTCCAGCCCTTCCCCGGGAGGCTGCCGGATCCAGTGCCAGTCACCGCTATCGACGGAGTAACCAGACACAGCGCAGCTCAGGGTGAGGGTCTCTCCAACCTTCACCTTCCCCGGGCCGGACTGGACCAGCTGCACCTGAGCGAGGACACCTGAGTACAGGGAAACAGAGCAAGGAAATAATTAATCTCTGAATGAACTCAGGCCCAAAGACACTCACAGATGGGGGTGGCGAGCAGGGCCAGGAAAAGCAGCAGAGGTTCCATTCTCGTTCCCAGGCACTGAGGGAAACTCCCCAGCGGGCAGGGCCGGGCAGGGCTGTGTCTGGGCGGAGACTGAGGATCCTAGAACCAGGTACTGGAATTTAACAGGAACTCCCCGGGCAGGGATTTGCATGATGGTTTCACCCAGAGGGTATAAGCGAAGCAGACCTTTAGCAGGGAGCGGTGCGTGGTGGAAATCTGAGTCACAGTCCCCTGCAGCGTGCGACCCAGAACCAATTCGGGTGTATTGGAGCTCCTCAAAGGGAATCATTTTTCTTAGTGTCTGTTCCTAGGCGAGTTGGGTTTCGAATCCCAGCGACCATCTGCACCTGTTACATAGAGCAGAGATGTTCAGAAACCGCTCACGGGACTGGGAGTGTGTGATGGAGAAGGAGCCACAACGATCCATGTCCAACGGGAGTCGCAATCTCTAGGGAGAAGGATCATTCTCCCATTGGCCGGAAACAGCAATCCAGGGTAGACAGGAGCTGTAATTCCCCTACCTGCAGAGGTAAAGTTAAGGTCACTTACACTGCACCCTACACTGGGAATATTGCAAAGATTTTTCATTTTATTTTGAAATTTGAAATGTGATGCATCTACATGGTGCCAAATGTTGAAATAAATCACTATTTTGAGCCATCCCTATCCCTCGTGCAACGAAGTTCACTGGGCTGGCCAAAAAGCACACCTGTTATTTCAAAAACTGCTTCAAAATAATGAGTAGGTGCAGAGTAGCATGTCTCAGTCACGCACAGAGAAGGTGACAGAAAAGTCCCCTTCCGGCCAGGCAGTGGGTCCTGGGGAAACCTTGGCCAGTCTGGCCCTAGGGTGCCCCTCACACCCAACTTGCAGCTCCCTATTGCCTGCTCAGATACCTCCCAGCTTTACCATGCTCCCCACTCTCAACCTGCAGCCCCTGCTGCCTTCTTAGGTACTCCCCAGCTCCATGGTGCCCATCACTCTTGACCTGCAGCCCCCTGCTGGCACACAGAATCCCTTCCTCACTTTGGTGCCCTTCAGTCCCAACCCTCAGCCACCTGCTGCGTGATCCATGGCTCCCCTGCTCCACCTTGTTCCACTCTCTTGACCCACGGTCTGCTGCCTATTCGGCTACTGTGGTGCCCCTCACTCCTGACCCAGGGGGGCCAAGAAGCTCTTTCAGGAAAACGTCCTGGGAGCTGACAGTATTTATAGGATAGAAACTAGGGGTGTAATAGTGCAGTCGATTAACTGATAAGCAAGAGCTTAGAGGCTAATGTTATAGACTACACGCATTCCCCCTCCCCCAACCTTGCCAACACATGTTTAGCGGGCTGACCAGCAGGCTGTATCC